GGGAGGGACTCACACCACAATCAAGCACCCTCCCAGCTCCAGGAGCCTCAGGAAAGAAAGCAGACACCTGGGAAGCGGAGACCTATGGGGTGGGTCGGCAGCAGGCTCCATTTATAGCCATGCTGCACAAGAGCTGCATCGGGACAGGGAGGCCATACTGGAGAGGGCTGGAGAGGGCTGGAGAGGGCTGGTGAAGGCTGGTGAAGGCCTCAGCTATTACTCTCCTGTGCCCCAACTCATTGTCACCTCCCGTGCCCTGCAAGGCTGTTTGGAGGTAGGGGGAGGTGGGCAGCCCACCCGTGTCATCCACAAGTGTCCTCCGTCCTTACCTAAATAAATCAAATTTAGGTTTCAAGCCATGCAGGGCACAAGGCGCCCTCCTACCACATGGGGCAACTAAAGTCCAGTTAGGCTTTGGAGGCTGTACCAAGATGGGCCTTCAGACTGTAATCCCAGCACTTCCGAGGGTGAGGCAGGACTGTCTCGAGCTCAAGCACAGCCTGGGCTACAAAGTGAGTTCAAGACATAGTGACACCCAGTCTCAAAAAAAAGAAACCAACAGAAAAGGCTGGGCATGGTGGCCCAAGGCTGTAATCCTAGCGACGGAGAGGCTAAGTCAGAAGGATCGCCACAAGTTCGAGTGTAGCCTGAGATACACAAGTGAGTTCAAGACCAGGTCCAGCTACAAGGCGAGATCGTCTCAAAAAGGAAAACAACAACAAGGGTCTTCAGGGTCCGCCAGTTCTCCAGCCACAGAAGCAGCCAGGCCTCCCACGTGACCCAAGGACGCACCCAGCGATCACATGAACGGAACCTCCTGAAGCCATATTCGAAAACCCACGGACGCTCCCGAGGCACACGTGCCATCCCAATGGGTCACTCACATCTTGGAGAGCTTGGACGCCGCGCCGCCCGTCACTTTGGCGACGCGCAGCTGCGACAGCTCCACCTTCAGGTCGTCCAGCTGTTTCAGCAACTCCTCCTTCTTCTTGCCGCGAAGGTCCCGAGCCTTAATCTTGGCCTGTACGCGAGCAAGTCCGGGTCAGGCGCCCGGCGGGCTGCCTCGCTTCCTCCCGCAACCCAGGCCGGTCCCCGGCAGCGCCGCCTTCCCAGGTCGCGGACGATAAGAAGCGCGCGGCCCGCGGCCCCGGGGGAGAAGGCGAGACGTGGGCTGTGTGGGCGCTGGGCTGTCCTGCGCGGAGCCCCCCGTACCCAGGCGACAGATGAGATCCAGGGGCTTAGCCCAGGTCCCCCCACCCAGGTCCCCAAGGCCCACGGTGCCTAGATGGCACCCGATTCTCTCACACTCACCATAGCAGCACAAGAAGCCGCCGCCGCAGCCGCCTGCTCCGAGGGAAAGGGGAAGGGGCGGGGCTGACCTCCGCAACTACTGCCGGGTGGCAGCCAGCGCAGCCAATGGCGCTGCGGCGCGGGAGCCCTGCCCCGCCCCTTTTTCCTTTTAGCCTAGTAGCATGTGATTGGTCCTTGCTGCGGCGCCGGCGGAACCGGAGCTACCTGCCTTGGTCCCAGGGTCTTTCCCGGAGTCCTGGACTAGCTGGGTGGGCGTTAAGTCCTGAGCGACGCAGTTGGTGAGGCTGAGGCCAGAGCTGACTGGAAGTTGGCCGGAGATGACATAGGAAAGGCTCGAATTCTTCATTCAGTCATGTATTTGTTCACTCATTCATTCGGCAAAGCTCGACGATTTCCCAGTTAGCCGCTGTGAGCTGGGCACCGGTGATCTGAGGATGCGGAGGGGATGAGGAAGGAGGGTTTGCAAAGATGCACTAACGCGGGGGAGGTGGCACACACTCGTAGTCCCCACACTGTGGGAGATTGAGGCAGGAGGATCAAAAGTTAGAGCCCAACCTGGGGAACATAGCGAGAAGCTGTCTCAAAAGAGAACCTCACAGGTGAAAGATCTCGGTTCAGTTTCCCAGTGTGTGTGTGTGTGTGTGTGGTGGTGGTGGTGGTAATATCTGATTTGTTCCCAACACCCTCACTGGCACCCGCTGGCTTGAGTAACCATGGACCATTGCCACCTGGACCATTGCTGTCATGAGAATCACTTTTCTGAGCTTGGGCGCTTTTTGATGGGGGGGCGGTTGAGACAGGATCTCACTATGTAGTTCAGGCTGAGTTTGAACTCAGTACGTAGCCCGGGTTAGCCTCCTGTGATCATTCCTCGCAGTGATCCTCCTGCCTCAGCCTCCCCAGCGCTGGATTACAGGCATGCACTACCAAGCCTGGCTTTGACGCACTTCTTTAGTGGGCGGCAGGAGACGGATACTACTGATTGTACTGGGCACTTGTGCCTGGAGCTACACCACCCGCCTCGGCACTTTTTAAATTTTTTTTTGGAGACAGGGTCTCCTGAATCACTCTGTTGCCCAAGCTGTGCTTGAACTCCTGATCTTTCTGACTCAGCCTCCCAGAATGCCAGGATTATAGGCGTGTGCTTATCATACCCACCTCGGTTTTGGTTCTTGCTCCCATGTATGTTCTCAATATAGGTGCAAGAGAAGTCATTTTTTCATTTTTGTTGTATTGGGGCATGAACTCAGGCCTCACACATGCTAAGCAAGCTATCTAGCACCGACAGGCATCCCCAGCTCCTTTTTTGTTTTGCTGGCACTGGGTTTTGCTAAGTTGCCCGGGCTGGCCTTGAATTTGTGATCCTCCAGCCTCTGCCTCCTGATTAGATGGGACTGTACCACCACACCCAGCTAGATGACCCCTTTCAGCACAAGCCAGAAGTCATATCATGTCATTCTGCTGCTCTCAGAACTTCCAAGCCTGTCCATCTGAGTTAAGATTTTGTCCTTTTCCTTTAGCTAAGAAACTCCCAGGCACTGGATGATTTTTTTTTTTTTTTTTTTGCCCTCAACACTCAATCATCCCTGACATAGTATAAATGAATTTTTAAAATTTATCTATTTTTGATGCTGGAGACCGGACCCAGGGCCTTTGCCCTGAGCTACATCCCCAGTGCCCCCCCCCCATTCAGACAGGGTCTTGCTAAGCAACAAGTTGTCCAAGCTGGGTTTGAACTTATGATCCTCCTGTCCCAGCCTCCCAGAGTGCTGTGTTACAGGCATGCACTACTATATGCCTTCTATAATATGGCTCTACTATTGAATTTTAAATCCTGCCTTCTTCGTTGGAATGGAAGTCCATGAACATGAACTTGAACATTATTCATCAGCTTTTCTGGGGCTGTTCCCTTAATTGTAAAATTAGCAATTTTGGCTTCAACTTCCTTCTTTTTTGTTCTTTTATTTTTTGAGACAAAGTCTTGCTATGTAGTTCAGGTTGACCTTGAGCTCACTTTATAGCCCAGGCTGGCCTCAAATTCATCTCGCTCCTCCTGCCTTAGCCTCCTGGGTGCTGGGATTACAGATGTGTGCTACCAGACCTGGTTTCAAGTTCCTTCTGACCAGGATGTTCTGGGGATATGAATTTCTCCTGTCTTGTGGCCTGCCTCCTGAGTCAGAAAGATTTCTTCCCAGGTACGGAGGCAAAGGTGAATTTTGATTGTTTTGGGGACCTGAGACTTTAATTGACACCTGTTTACCACTATGGGAGTCTGTATCTTTTTTCTTGCACCGAGTTGCAGCCCCAGTCCTTTTTATTTTATTCTTCCTCTCCCTTTTTCTTTTTCTTCTTCTTCCTTCCTCCCTCCTTCCCTCCCTCCCTTTCTTCCTTTTCTCTCTCTTTCTCTGACAATGTCTTGTTAAATTGCCTGGGCTGGGCTTGAACTTGTGATCCTCCTGCCTCAGCCTACCAGAGTGTTGAGATTACATGCAGGTGTCACCCTGACCAGCTTGGGATTTGGTATTTTTAGCGTCAAAGCTGGGCTGCATCACTCTGACAGTATTTTCTGATCTGCAGACAGTTCAGTCAGAAGTATGCAAAGCAATAAAAACAAGTCATGTTTCAATTACTTTTACTAAAAAGACCATCAGACGAAAATTTAATGAAAATAGTTTCCTTATACCATTATATGAACAGACCTATTTTAGCCGAAGGCTAAGGTCAATTAAAGGAGTTACTCAGGAACCCAATCGTGGCACCCCAATTGTGTCAAGCTCTGCCCTTTCCTCAGATTCTGGGAATTTTGTACCCTAAAATATGCTGTCCAGTTAGGCCTAGCTTCTCGGCATGCAGGACCTTGCACTTCCGGCCTGTATGGTGGCCGCACAGTCATGTCCTGATCCCGGCCCCCACCCGCAGGCCAAAGTGACTGCTACATAAGCGGGGTCCTACACCCTCAAAACGTCTTCCGCACTGGGCGTGATAGCGCAGGCATGTAATCGCAGCATTTGGGAAGTTTGAGGCAGGAGGATCACAAGTTTGACTTAGTGAGAGACCCTGTCCTATAAAGGGGGGGTGGTGTGTAGCTCAGAGCGAAGGCCCAGGGCTCAATCTCCAGTGGCAGAAAAGAACAATAATTCCTGAACATCTTGTCAATGCCTTGGATACAATGAATGGTATTAGGGTCTCCCCACTCCTTTGACAACAGGGTCACTCCTACATCACTGCGCAGGCAGCTCGTGGCTCAGCGTCGGGCCAAGATTTCGGCACGCCTCTCTTGTCATTGTCGGAGCATGGTACAGGCCTTAACGAGAAGGTTTCTTCTTCAAGATGCATGGCCGGCGCTGGACAGGCAGGTCCGACCGCCTTCTCCGGGACTGGGGTCCTCTCCATCTGATCCTCTCCCGGAGTCGGCGCTGGCTCCTCCGTGGGGAAAGTCCTCGGGGACAGGGAGGAAGCCAGACGACGAGCGGAGTTATGGCGTCCACGATGCCGGGCCTGCTTGGGCTCGCGGTGCCCGCCACCCAGAAGGGAAAACGCGGACCCGAGAAGATCCGAGTCCGGCGGGGTTGCCGTGGAGACCACCGCAACAGATATCTGACGCTCCCGCCGCACCGGGCACGCCCCCTACGGGGGGGTTCCGCGCTTCCGGTTCCGGTGTCGACAGGAAGTGGGCGGGCGGCGGAGGCTGCGCGCGGAGGAGGAGGAGGTGCCGGGCGCCTGCTTCCCGCCCCCGAGCCTGAGCCGGAGGCAGATCCCGAACCGGTGGCGAGTGGAGCTGAGCGAGGTCGGGCCCGCAGCGGAGCCGGCTGAGCGGGCGCCGAGCTCCCGCCATGGCCCGGAACACGCTGTCCTCGCGCTTCCGCCGGGTGGACATCGATGAGTTTGACGAGAACAAATTCGTGGACGAGCAGGAGGAGGCGGCGGCGGCGGCGGGAGAGCCAGGCCCGGACCCCAGCGAGGTGGACGGGCTCCTGCGGCAATATCCTTCCCCGCGCGGCGGCCCGGTTCGGCCCGGGCTGCTCACCCTTCTCATCCCCGGCTCGGGCACCGCAGCCCGGGCTCCTCGTTGCCCTTCCCCCGAGCCCCCGCAGGCCGGCTCCCCGCGCCGTCTCCCGTCCGCCGGGTCCCACTTCCCTCCCGCCCCCGCGCGGCCCTCGACCTGGTGGGCGGCTCCTCCGCGCTCCCTCCGCGTCTGCCCCGGCGGCCTCTGCCGAGGGCGCCCATGGCTCCGTCCCTCCTGCGGGAAATAGGGCCGTTCCCGGTGCTGGTCGGCGGGAGGGCACAGTCCTCCGCGGTCTGCCCCGCTGCTCTCCTGGGATCTGCGGCAGACCTCAGAGAGTAGGTGGGTGGATGGCTAGGGGAAGGAGCGCTAAGGGGGAACGTGAAGGCGGCACCCTCGCTGCAGCCTGAGAGCTGGGACTGCGTCCCCCACCCCAGGGCCGGCCTGATGCCGCCCCCCTCAGCCGTTCTCACTTCGCTGAATACCTTGGGCTTTGGACCATCATGGTCTCAGCCTGGCTCACCAAGTGAGTTGTGGCTGCCCCGGTACGGTACTGTCCTTGTGCAGGAAGCAGTAGAAAAACTAGCAGGTAGAGCTAAGAAAACTATATAGTGTGAAGTGTAGAAAGTAGAGCTCCAAGACTGCAAATGGTTGTTCTTGTGTCCACAGAAAGCGAGCATTTAGATGAGAAGATTAAAAATAGAGGTGATTGTCACAGCTTGGCTCCTTCGCACTTTGTGCACAGGAAACTGACTTATTCTCACAGGAAGAATTTTTCTTTATTCAAATGGTGTTACAGGAAGTGTGTTCCCTTCCCCCCACACTTGCCAGGGCAGGGTTGGAGGCTCCTGCTGTATATAAATCAGGTTCTGGGTGTTTAGTCAGTTGACTCACTTGGGAAGTCAGGCCCACTGCTTTTGGGAGGAGTCCTGCGGTGCTCCTCCAATATGCCTTTAAAACAAATACCTGCAGACTTTGTTTGAACAGGAATGTTGCTTTCAAAGGTGGAGATTTAAATTGGAATTTCCTGCCTCATCCAGATTGCTCACCTACCCTACTGATGAAATGGGGTCATGAGAAGGGACCCCTGAAGGGAAGGCCGGTTCTCTAGTCTGGCTCTTGGGCAGTAGGTGCTGAAGAAGCTCCACGCTCAGGTCTTTGGCCCAGAACCATCATTCAACAGATGAAGAGACCGTGGCTTGGCCAGCTGCTGCCTTGGTCTTCCTGCTGCAGGGACTTGTTGAAGGTCACATAGCCACCAGCCCCCAGCTGCTCGTAGTCAGGTGTCATAGGCTGCTTAGAAAAGCCCAGGAGATGGTAGCTTTGCCACTATTGTCAGAAGCCTGTTACCATGGAGAGTACCTCTTGGGAGTGGGGAAAGGCGGGGAGCCAGTGAGAAGTCACATCCTGGCAAATGTGGGGTTCTAGATAGGAGGAGGAGGAATATTTGAGTTCCTACCATGTACCAACCCTTGGACTTATTTTAGGTGTTTGTCTTTGAGACATGGTCTTGCTATGTAGTTGAGTCTGGCCTTAAACTCACTGTGTGGCCCAGGGTGGCCCCGAATTCATAGCATTCAGCCTCCCAAGTGCTGGGATTACAGGTGTGTGCCACCATGCCCGGCCTATATTAGGTGTTTGCATTTAAACTACAGAGTCTTTAGGAGTCTTAGAAGAGGGGCCCAGGGAGAAGGACTGACCAGTGGAGCAGGGTGCTGGTAGAGGTCTTAGGGGGCTGTCCTGGGAAGTGTGTCATGGTTGGAGATCACACAGGAAGTAGAAAGAACATGGGCCCTGTAGGGACACAGACTGTTCTGTCCTGCTTTAGCTGTGTGGCCTTGCAGGGGTCACATACTTCTGTCTGCCTCCACATTGTCCTCTGTGAAATGAAGGACAACACACTGGCCCCGTCAGTTCCTCATGAGCATCTCTGGGCACACACAGCATGTGCCTGGGCCAGCAGCATGGGGCTGTGGTAGAGCAGTGTTGAAGAATTACAGAAAGAGCTTGGGCCAGTTGTGACCTTGGAGAGGTAATTGTCTTTCTCAGAGCCTCAGTTTCATAGTCTTTATTATTATTACTAGTTTTTGAACGAGGAATCAAACTCAGGACCTTGCGCTAGCCAGGCAGGCGCCCTGCTGCTGAGCTACACCCCCAGCCTCATAGTCTTTGAAATGGGAATAATAGTGGTTGTCGCAGTGTTTTGGGGGTGAGATGTATGGATGTGCTTGACTGAAGATCCGAGACCTTGTGGCAGTTCTAAAGTATTACTCATTCCTTTCTTCACTGGCGAAGTTCTGGTCCTTTGAGCAGGGTCTGTGTAGAGCAATGGTTTTGAGTGCTTTTGAACTCCCCTGGGCCCCCAGGAAATTTGGCACTGTTGAGGGACATTTTGATTGTCACAGCTTGAGGGTGCTATGGGACTCTTGTGGGTAGAGGCCAAGCAACCTGCAAAGCACAGGGCAGATCCCACATCAGAGACTCATCCGCACCACAGTGTCCGTGGTGCCAGGGCTGGAAGCAGGGTCTCCCAGCCATCACGGCCTGTTTGCTGCTAGGGATAAGTGACCAGTGATTGCAAAAACAGCCTGCCTGCTTCTCAGACTTCTGAGGAGTGCTTGCTTGATGACTGGTACTGCAGGGAGTTAACTCAGCAGCAGTGACTTGGACTCCGCACACCAGTTGGATCATCCTGCTCCTCCTGCCCATCCACCTTCTGAGTGACTCTGCTTGCCGACTGTGCCAGGCAGAAGTGAAGAGGGTGCTAGCCTACATTTGCTAGTAAGCCCCTGGGAGCCTGCTTTTGATCCAGGGACACATTCGAAGAGAGTTTTGAGGTAGTGGTAACCAGTGGCTGGTTCCACGACAGGCCCTGGTTGGAGGGTGCTAGGAGGCTGCCTTTCCCAGTGAAGGTGGATCAGATCCCGGCAGGGAGCTGGGCACCCACGGGGCTGGGAGTGGCTTGCTTGGTGGTAGACCCAGCTCTCAAGATGGAGCCCCCACTAGGGGAGCTGGGAATTGCGCTTTGCACCAGGGGCTCTGTCTGCTTACACGTGGGGATCGCTCTGCATGAACAGGAGTAAAGACCTGATTGGGCAGAACCATTCCTTGTTCTATTTTTGAAGCTTTTTGGCTGAAGCCAGTGTTTCACATGAGGAAATGAAAGTCTGCTGATGTAATTCAGTTTAAAATAGGTGTCACCTTTGGGGACCTAACCCAGATTGTAATTTTCTTTGTGTGCTGGGTATTTAGAACTCGGCAAAGACTGTGATGTTAGGATTGCAAGTAAGGTGTGGGGGTGGGGAGGCAGAGGCACTGGCAAAAGGTTCTTGTAGCATTTGGAACCTCACCGACCTAGGAGGTAGAAGCTTTAGCACATCTTAATTTCTTTAGCAGTTTTAACAGCTAGGCAGGGTTGAATGAAGATTAGACCTCCTTGGGCCTTCGTTCCTTCTTTTGAGAGGATGAGAGTGGCTTCTGGTTTGTGTGGAGGGTGGCTGAAGATCCAAGAGGGCAGGAGTGGTGCCCAGCACTGCGGGAACAGCAGGCTCCATGGGGTTTTACTGCAGCTACCCATGGGGGCAGTTGTTGCGGGGGGGGACCTGTAGGCAGAGGCAGAAGAGTAGGCAGAGGTGCCTTTCACCCTCCCTGTGGCTCAGGGAAGCAGCAGGCTATAAACAGGTGGTGCCCATGGTGAGGAGGGCGGCAGTGGGCGGTGGGTGGCAGGGATAAGATCCCTTTCGAGTCTGCTCCTGGGCTGCTTTCGAGATCAGTCTGTTAATGAAAGCGTGGCCGCACGTGAGCCCAGCCATCCTTAACTGGCGCTGCTGCACAGGGGATATGCTTCGGGCCTTCCACGCAGCCTTGCGGAACTCTCCAGTCAACACCAAGAATCAGGCCGTGAAGGTAAAGGGGTCTTGTGGCTCTGCTGGGTGTTGGGGGCCAGGGCTGTGGTGTGGCAGCGTCTGAGCAGCGCTGCCACACAGCCTCCTGGCACTCCTGAGGACCAGGCTCCTGACTTCAAAGCTGTCAGTGAATTTTGTGGTTTTATTTTTCTTTTTTCTGTGTGCATGCTGGACAGGTACTCTGCCTTGGAGCTACACCCCCACAGCCAGGTGGACAGCATGTTTAGTAAAAGCTCCCCGAAGAAACTGTTCCCCTCTCCCTAGGGCCTCTGGGGCGAGAAGGCAGCCCGGCCCTTGTTGGTGAGCAGAGCAGATAAATGAGCCGCCAAGTGGGGCTTATCAGTGCTTAGGTTTTTATAGACAATTGAATGGGCTTTATCTGTCTGAGGGTTTTGAGTGCTTTTTGGATTTCCTGCTTTTCAGAAACTGGGAGAAAAGATTGCATTATGTTCACTGCCTCAGCAAGACTAAAACTTGGTCCAGGGAGAGGGGCTTCTGCAGCGGAGTGCTGTTTGTGGTAACCAGCAGTCGCATCTGGGCAGAGGTAGAGAGGAGCGACCCCTCTATTACTGGGTACCTGCAGGAGAACTGTACTCAAACAAGTGGGAGCTTTTTGCTTTTTAAAACGATGCTCCATGGTTGTGATCCTGTGGCGTTTAAGGCCATGCTGGTGTTATCAAACATAGTGAAGCTAAGCCAGACGTGCTGGCACACACTTGGAAGGCTGAGGCAGAATTGCGAGTTTGAGGCCAGTCCTCAGTAAACCATTTATTTGCTCCAAAATAAGTGGAATAACACTGAAATTTAGCTGGGTATAGGGCCCCAGTCCTATACCTCAGTGCTCAGAAGGCTAAGGCAGGTTTGCTGAGTGTTCAAAGCCAGCCTGAACTATACAGTGAGACTGTCTCATAAAACAAAAAATACATAGCAATTTGAAGCAGTAAGAGAATTTTATTTACCTATTTTTTTTTTTTAAACTATCCTAGGTAAATTAGAGATCAGGCAGTGTTGCTGGTGAGCTCTGCCCTGTTTGATGCTCTTGTGCCCATATTGGGGGCCTTGGCCGTGCCTGGCTGTAGCAGCTGATCTCACCTTCTTCCCTCTGTAGGAGCGAGCCCAGGGCGTGGTGCTGAAAGTGCTCACAAACTTTAAGAGCAGTGAGATTGAGCAGGCTGTGCAGTCCCTGGACAGAAACGGCATTGACTTGTTAATGAAGTACATTTATAAAGGGTTTGAGAAGCCCACAGAAAACAGCAGCGCAGTGTTACTCCAGTGGCATGAAAAGGTACGTGAACACATCGCCTCGGCAGGGTCTGCTGCTTCACCCAGGTCTCACACCAGCAGGCCACGGTTTCCAGAAAAAGGAGGGACAGTCTGACAGCTTGTGAGCAATGCAGGCTTAAATCTGGACGTACACGGATCACTTCACCTGCTGTCTGTGGTAATCATGGTTGCTTTTGCTTGCTAGCTGCAGAGGCATGCCAGGTGGAACAGGGTGCCCTTGGTAGCAGACGGGGCAGATGCTGTGGCATAGTAAGGTTGGAGGAAGGCCTGCTGGCAGGGTCTCCACGACACTTCCTCTGCCCTAGTGTGAAGAGCTGGTGGAGAAGGGTGTGGGATGCTCTTAGGAATGCAGGCTGAGTGAGCCCTCCCACCAGCTCGGAGGGCTTCCTTCTTGATCTGGCCTCAGTCTGCAGCCAGTGTAGGGGGCAGAAGACTTCGTCATTTAATGTGGTTTTCATCCATCTGAAGCAGAAGCAGCTGTGTACCTCTGCTTAGGGGGGTTCCGGTTCACATCCACTTGCTGCCTTATGCCACTGTACCACCCCCCAGCACCACAGCAGGCATGCCTGCCGTTAATGGGAGCCAGGCTGTGACTGACACTGTCCTTCCCAGTGAGCTCTGCATTGTCTTAAGAGTACTTCTTGCTGGGCGTGGTGGTGCATGCCTGTAATCCGAGCACTCGGGAGGCTGAGGCAGGAGGATCCTTGTGAGTTCGAGACCAGCCTGGGCTACAAAGTGAGCTCAAGGCCAGCCTGAACTATATAGGGAGACCCTGTCTCAAAAAGACCAAAAAAAAAAAAAAAAAAAGAGTACTTCTACTCATGGGTCCATCCCTGAGGCAGCTGAGGTGCTGGGCTGTGGCTGTGCCTCCTGCCTCGCTGGGCTCAGCAGGTGCAGGTGGCAGTGGCGCTGCGAGAAGTGAGCACGCCTTCTCCGTGGCACAGAGGCTGGGCCTTTTCATCTCTGAGGTGATGTGGCATCAGCTCCGCTGGCAGGCAGCGCCCATGGGCTCATGTACATTTCTTTGCTCAGGGCCATGCCAACAGTTTGGAAGCAGTGAAAAACTTGGGCTGTCGGTGAGCTTGTCAGTGTTCCAGGCCAGTTCTGCTCCCAGTGCTTGGTGCAGGACGGGGCTCCTTCCCCACTCCTTGGTCTTGGCTATAGGACTCCTTTATCAGAGGGGCCGGGCACAGAAGGATTCAGGTCCAGGAGGACATGCTCGCACTTTCATCTCTCTGGCGAGTCAGGTTCCTTCTGGCCAGGTCTTATCTGACTTGTTTCCTTTTCCTGCCCCCACAGGCCTTAGCTGTAGGAGGACTAGGCTCCATTATAAGAGTTCTTACAGCAAGAAAGACTGTTTAAAACAAACACAAAAACAAACAAAGGACTCATGTTACCCTGAAGAATTTGATGCCCAGGCTGGTGAAGAAGGGATTGACAATGGACCATCATCCTAGGAGCTCCCAACTACAAATTTCAGGACACGTATCTGCTGAAATGTATTTTATTTTTGAGGTGGAGGGAGAATTGCTGTTTCCTAAACCCTTTGCAGGATCTCAGTCTGCCGCTGTCTACAGAGTTCTGTAGTGCTGACCCTTGACCACCTTCAGAGTGGCCCGCTGGTGTCGGTCAGGTGTTATCGTGCGCACTGCCTGTTTGAAAGGGGGAGGGATGATTTGGGCAGGTGCAGATCCAAGGGCTGTGGTGAAAGGGAGAACTTGTTTTCAGACATGGGAAAACCTGAGAGTTTGTACAGATACTGTCTTCCCAGAGAAGGCAGACCCTCTCGGGTTCATTGTAAAGTGCCTGCTGCATCAATAAAGCTCTTGGCTTATTAGTATATCCATTGCGGTGTGTTTCCTATATGTAAAAAGTGGGAACGATGGGATGGTAATGAATGAAGAGTTCGACTGTTCTGGAAGCACAGCGTGGGAGGGTGGGCGTGTCCCTGTGTGGCTATCCCTGGGGAGTGAGCACGGCAATCTCTGGGCCTCATGCCATGGCAGTCCCATGAGCCTCGGCCACCCTGCTGCTGGCTGCTACAGAGAGGCATTTTGCTGAACTATTTATTGTTTCTTACTCCTTTGATTTGTATGTAACTTTGGAGCTTATTTAATTTAATAAAGTGCCAAACATTTAATAATTGATTGAGGCTTTAACAGTCTTCAGTTTGTGTCCTTACACGTAGTCTTCCAAGTGTGGTCCCCAGCTGTGCCTGGCCCCGTCTTCTGTCTCTTGAGGCTGCGTCTGCTCTGGAGGAATTCTTGTAGCGGTGTCCTCATACGTTTCTTTGAAGAATGAAACTCCAGAAACAGTAAAGGCGAGGACCCCATTTGTCCTCCTGAAGCACTCCTGGGTCATGCAGGCCATGAATGTCCATGGACTTCCACCAAGGCGACAAGCCTCTGCCTGCCCAGCTCCTTGCAGAACCACTGTGATGCTTAGGAGGTAGGACTAGACTGTTGGTTTCATTAAAATTACCCGTATTTTGCCCAAACCCAGTCTGGGGAGGATCCTTCTGAAAGACAAGCATGCAGCCCTTGAAGTTTTAAGTATAAGATACAATGTACTAGATATAAGAGTCAGGGAAATACAGACCTAACAATATCAAGTGAAACCCACTGCAGCTGCATCTGGATTAAACAGTTTTAATCAAAAATTCTCTACAGCCAGTTTTAGATTATACAATCCCTATTTACAACACTGGGAAATCAAGATCCATTGCTCATATAAAGGGGTATATATACTGTATCACAGAAAGTTTTATACAAGTAAAAGTGCATTAAATCACTTGGAATATTTACTCCACTCTTCCCCTTAAAGGTGAAGGAAATTCAACATGCAGGAAGAAAGCCTTAGTCAGAGGGAGTCTTCCCAAGCCAGTCAACTTCGTAAGAGCCCCAGCCACACCTCAGATTGCTGTGGGGAGACCAGTGCAAGGGATGCAGGAGCCACAGGGGAGCGGGGGCGGCCACTGCAGGTGTTAAGCCGCAGACTAGATGTGGCTTCCGGGAGGATTTGCTCCTGAATAGCGGGGAGGAAATCCTACCTAGCTAAAATGCTACCTCTTACCCCTCAGAGAACAGAAGGGACTCTGGTTTCATGGTCTCACTTAGATGAGAAGTAGCAATCTGAAAGGCGCACACTGCAGGGAGCGCTGCGTGCAGGTGACTGGAGAAAGACTGTTGGATGGCAGAGGCCGAGCTGGGCCAAGGTGCCAATGCCCTGGCTTAATACCATCTGGAACTTCAGTGGGTAAACTCTGCAAGTACTTTTCTGTGGGATTTTTTGTATCTGTGTGTGTATATATGTATTTTTGATAAAATGATAATTTAGGAGCTCCAGTTAATTCAGTTTATTTGCCAATGAAACTTTTTCATCAAACAGTTGCCCTTTAGGTTTGATGTGGCTTCTCCACATGTGACAACAAATACAAGTGTGCGTCAGCTGCTGCCAGAGGTGTGTGTGTGCTACCAAGTACTGCAGCCAGCTGCGGCTGTGCGGATGCCGGCTGTGAATGTAGTGTCACCTTAAGTAGAGTGGGTAGGGTGGGAGAGAGGGGTGGCTTTGCGTACAAGATAGACTGCCTCTAACGTTTTGGTCAAGGCTGGAACAAGAAGGGACAGCTGCTGCTTCTAATGAGTCCCGCAGATTGTCCTTTAGTAAAAAGGTGTGGTTAATATTTGGTCAGTGGTAGAATGACACAATTAAGAGCAAAGCAGATGAAATACCACCACTGCCTCTGAGAGCAGGTTCTACAGAAGGCTGGCAAAACTACAAAGGGACAGGAACCCCAGTTTTATAAATAGTTTCCTCTTGATGCTCTGGTTTTCCTTTAAGAATACCAATTAAATGGATTTTATAATAAAGAAGTTTATAATAGCGAAGAACTTTAGCTATAAAAAATAGTTTAAAATGGTTTACCAGCAACCTATCCAAGACAAGTACATTCATTAAAAAGGCAATTGAGTGTATTTGGTACTATACTTAGGATCTTTTATGTTTGCTAGTTTGAAGCAAAATGGAGATATCATCAAAAAGTTGCATATTCTTCATTAATCCACTCTGGCCCAGAATATCTCAAAGATGTACCTATCTCAAGTTCTAGGTGGTTTGGGAATCTGAAATGATGTGTCCTTGAGCGGAAGGACAAAAGCCTCTTCTCACTCTTACAAACCCAAACACACTATGGAGGAGGACTGTGGAAAGTCACCCTCTCGAGGTGGCTTTTCACGGAGGAGCGGGTGGGGCTGGCCTGCTGGGCTCACTCCAGAGGGCTGTCTCTACCTCCAGTGTCCTCTGTGTGATGAGTCAGCTGCCTCCTGACATGCTGATGCTTTAAGTGCTACTGTTCAGAGTTAGAGGAGTCATGTGCAGAGGTGAGCTGGCCAGGACTGCTGGGGCCCTCCCACTTGGTGACCAGAATGACATAGGATCAGCTGCCTCCTGAGGTTAATGTCAGGCTGCAGGGAAGTGGGCCTTAAGTCTTGTAAACAATGTTTAGACATGTGTACAAAATACTGCAGTTACAGTGATTAAAAACCCACCCAGACTGGTGTGTCAGTGTTCTTTTCACAGAAAAAGGTGTCAAGCCATGGAGCCCATCCCTGGGTGGTTCCTCTAAGACCATGGTATCCGAGGGTTTGAGATAGATGGTCGGATGCTGCCCTTGGGAGCTGGTTTGGATCCAAACCAGGACATCTGCATAAAAAATAAAAAGGGCTCTTGAGAAGGAGAGTAGGTGCAGAGATGGCAGACTCAGCCCCTCCCCTCCCTGGGCCACAGGCAGTGCTCTCCAGGCACTCCGAGCAGAGGACGGAGATGGTTGCAGTAACCAGTCTGCTGGGGGAGGAGCCCATTCTAAGTAAGGGAAGGAAATGAAAGAAAGTGGATTGATGAGAACGAGGTAGTAGAGTTTTAGGTAATTTTCTCTATTACACCATTAATGTAGGTGCTTTGCAGTTTTATTGTTTTGTGGTGCTGGGAATTGAACCTGTAGCTTTGCACATGGTAGGCAAGTGCTCTGCTACTGAGTTATACTTGCAGTCTTTTTTTTTTCTTTTTTTGAGACAAGGTCTTGCCATATAGGTTCAGGCAAGCCTTGAATCACTACATAGCCCAGGCTGGCCTCCAACTGGTGGTGATCCTCCTGCCTCAGAGTGTGGGGTTACAGGCATACACCACCACACCTGCCTCCCAGTCCTTTTTGGAAGTCCAGGTGTTAGGCCAAACCTGGAGCTGTTGATAAAGTGCTATCAATCAAAGTTAGAAGAATTCAAAGTCTGGAAGTTAGATACGGACAGACGTTTGGGCACAAAGGATGTCCTCGGTACTACCTGATCAAGTCATCGCCCCAAAGCCACTAAGCAAGGAAGCAGCTGCAGCTGGTTGCCTGCCTGCATGCTGGTCTCATTTGCCCGCAGTGGGATGAGGAACTACATTGTTGTGGCCGAAACAACTGATCAGAGGAGCCTACCTTATATTCCAGGGTTTCTTTGAGCATATTCTCTTCCTCTTGAGAAAAGTTCAGTAACACTGACACAGCTTTGATCAGATGAAAAGCCTGAAACAAAGTAAGCTTTGCTGCCATGGGCCTTGGTGGGGGTGGGGCAGGAAGTGGGGGGCTAAACGGAAGCATTTCCTGTTGCCTCCATTAACAAGGGCCAGGTGGTGCGTGAAGCACATGGCTTCTGAGGTCTGACAGCGACATATTCTCATGCTGTCCCTCCCACTTCTGCTTGGCAGACTGGCAAGACCCAGCAACCAGAGTGGACCTGTTCCCAGGACTTGGCTCAGCACCTTGGCTGGGATGGAGAAGCGGAGCCCGCACCTCCCCTGGGAGCCCGCTGCCTGCTGCGGCTCGGTTCAGTCTGCAGGCCGAGGCTGGGGGAGGAAGGAGTTGGGTGGGCAGGAGGCCCGGTAGGGCTGACCCCACAGGGCTGGGCCCCAAACCCAAACGGGAGCTTGGGAGCTCTTTACCTCCGATTCTCGACAGGACATGAATTTTAAAACAACATGTTTAAGGTACTCAAAGTTGATCTCTCGAGCATCCGTCAGGTCAGCGTTATTTGTGACGGAAGGAGCCATGTTTGGCATCTCAGGGCCTGGCTTCTCCCGGACTTCAAAAAGCTCACTGTCAGGTTTGATTTTCTGAAAAACCAACAGAGAGGTCTTCTGTAGGCAGCCAGTGGGCCACTGCACAGGCTGGAGGGAGAATCTGAGTCCAGAAACTCATGGGCCCCTCAAGAGTGACTACAACCCCAGGGCCGAGGCCCACCAGTGCGGTCCCTTGCCGCCCCTCCGCCGCCCCGCACCTCGCAGGGCCAAGCAGGGAGAGCGCACATACTCCAGGTGAGGGTGGCAGCTGAGAGGAGGAAGGAAGGTCTGTACCTGTATTTCCGTATCTGTATCAAGGACATGGGACCCCCCAAAGAGTGAGCACCCCAGCCTGGACCAGGATGCTGTTCTTGACTTGCATGGGCCAGTCACTTGCCATGTACACAGTGCCACCACCGCACGGACTTCCCGAGCGGGCCGCGGGCGCAGGGGAGGACACAGGCGCAGGGAAGGAGGGTGCCTGGCCGAGGCCTTAGGGCCAGTCCTGGGGGCGTGTTCAAGCAGGTAGGGCCGTGGGGGGCAGGGAGGAGCCCGGAAGGGTTGCTGAGGAGGGCTGGGGCAAATAGTGCGGGCACTCACCAGCTCCCTCTGCAGCGTCTTCCTGAGCTCCAGCATCCTCTGCTGCATCTGCTTTATGGTCTGAGACAAACCCACCCACCACAGCCAGCAGTTAGAGGTGCAGGTCACCATTTTCCAGAGGTAACAAAAGCAACAAAGACACCCCTGACATCACAAGCACCCGTTAAAAGTCTGCCCCGAGAGGTCCTCCCGAGAGACTGTGTCAGGTGTTGCACATGTGCATGTGACCCCGAGCTCCTGGCCAGGTCTCATGGGGGCTGCCTTTTGCTATGCTGTCCTGCAGGACATGACTCCCCAGTGCTGGCCCGCCACCTCCTGCAGGCCCAGTCCTTGGGCCTGTGCACCGACTGCACTGCAGGAATGTGCTTGGTCTGTGTGCTGTGATCCCCAAGGATATCTGGGCCAGACTAGAGGGTTCTCATCACTACTGCCCTCCTGAAATAATTTGCAATGTTAAACACTGTGAAAAGGTCTTATTTTCTCTGTGCAACATAACAAAGCTGGGCATTAGATCTTTTTTTTGTTTTGTTTTGTTTTTGAGATAAGATATTACTATATAGCCCAGGCTGGCCCCAAACTCATGGTGATCCTCCTGTCTCAGCTTCTCGAGTGCTGGGATCACAGGTACGGGCCACCATGCCCAGGTTTGTGTTTTCTTATTGACTAGAGGTTAGATGTTCCCCTGGAAGTATACTGCTACTTTACCTTAGGTTGCCTGCTTTCCCACTCATTAATTCATCTAGTAACACTAGTGATTGAGTCCCTATTAAGTGCTAGCTAGATATGTCCTTGGGGGCCAGGGAAAAACATCATTAAAAAGACCCAATTTCTGCTGAGAGGGAAAAGAGAAGCAGCAAGGTAGGGGGCTGGGGCATTCTGGTGGGGAGGTGGGCCAGGGTGGCAGGTCAGCCCTCATGGACACAGCAAGAGAGAGTGGGCAAAGGCCTTCAGGTGAGCAGGTACTTCCGGGTTCACAGACAGGCAAGGCCAATGAGGGCTTGACGGGATCCGAGGAGCAGAGGTGGGAAGGGATGGTCACAGGGCTTTGCCGGCCACTGCAAGGCTTCTGACCTGCACTGTGACAGGGGAAGTCATCAGACTGGGAAAGAGAAGCGATAGCAAAAGCAGACAGAAACCCAGTGGCAACTTCTAGAGAAGAGGCGGCCTGGAGTGAGTGATAAAGCAGCTGATTCGGGTACAGTGTGAAGAGTGGATAAGGAGTCATGGGCTGAGGATGTCTCCCAGAGTTTTGGTATTTCCTGGGAAGGGAAAGATGGCAACAGAAGCGAGGAGCACTGGGAAGCTGGAGTCTGGTCTGGGTGTCCTGAGATGCAGGGGCAGCAGGAGGGGAGAGGGAGGGAGGGTCTGCAGGTGGAGGGAGAAGGCAGAAGTGGAGACGGAGGCGGCAGAGCAGAGGGCACAGCGTGTGCAGTGCGTAGCCTGCCAGGAGACACTATCTGGGGACAGCGGTCTCCAGTCTCCGGCCCATTTTGGTTCGATGGCTGCAGGTATGGGGCAGGGGCTTGGCCAGCGCAGCCTGAGGACAGGGAGAGGGGCCAGAGAACCAAGGGTGGTGACCAGGCAGTGGCTACCATGAGCTGTGCACGGAGGGTAGAGATTGACAGATGGCAGGGGCTGCGGCGTGGCACACGTCAAATCCACCAGCAGGCAAAACCAAACTCTAGAACTGCGGAATATGAGCTGAGGTCATACAACCAGAGAACAGCAGGGCGGCCGTTTCCATAAAAGTCAGTCTTAGTCCCTGGGGATGTGAGGAGCCGAAGGAGGCCTGGCCTCTGGGACACTGGCCACGTCCTGCTTTGTGCCAGTGGGGCCAGGTGTTAGTCCACTGAGCCACACATTGTTGTGTATACCCTTCTGTGTATTTTACATTTCACAGGGAGAGATTAAATGAAGGAGGGGTGAATACCTATTCCCTTTGTTAAATATTTAATACCTGGCCCACCCAAATTTGGGGGTAGGATTTCAGGCCAGAGCAATACTCACCGAGCACACTAAGCTTCAGAGGGCCCTCTGAAAACCAGGATCAATGAGACCCTGAACTCGCAGGGCCCCCGCCAAACCACAGGCTGTTTACAGAGCATTAACACACACCTTCCTTTCATCCCCTGGCCCCAAAGTCCCCTGAAGGCCAAGGCCCAGTGCTGTCACCCCCAGCTGTGGGCAGCAGAGCATGGGAACAGCTGGGCTCTGACACCACACTGCAGCTTGAGGGAGTGTCAGGAAAGACAAGGCAACAGTGAGTGGAAGATGAAAAGCAGGACGGAGCCCTTCTGAGAGCAAGGCCAGCCGCTTCTCAGCCTTTTGGTTAAGATCAAATGCAAGGGCAAGGGCAAGTCTCAAGGGCAGGACGGACCAGAGACACACACCACAAGGCGTCCTCACCTTATTCTTCTCTGTAAGCTGCTGCTCCAAGTCCTGTTTCTCCTTCCGTAGCTGCCGGAGATCCATGGACCCCACCTCGCCATTTGGTGTTTCTTCTGCAAGGGGAAGCTGGTACACGGGGTCCTGTGCAGCCTTCGCAGTGACCTACGGGGTGGTGGCAGCAGGCTGAGAGCCAGGACACGCAGTGCTGAAGCTAAGCCACAGGCGCGGGGAGAGGAGCCTGCTCGTGCACAGCTGTGGCCTGGTGTGCTGCGACGGGCGGCTGGCCAGGAAGCACAGGTCAATAGGAGAGGATCCCATAATGCCTTTCTGTGCCACCGCTAGCCAGCTGGGTGCCCCCATGCCACCATAAGGGTCCCACGATGGCACGGGGCCGCACTTACGTGTGCCTCTGGGTCCCGCAGCCTCAGCAGGTCCTCCTGTACCTCTGCCGGGGTGGCCTCCTGGGCCTTGTGGCTCCTTAGGGCCTCCAGCTCACCCTGGAGCTGGTGCATCTGCAGCAGGGCAGCGTCCTGACCTGGGGCGGCACAGGGGGCGCAAGGTGTGAGCCTCGAGATCTGGGCTGCTCTGTGCCAGCCGGGCAGGATCAACACTCACCTTTCTTCAACTGGAGGATCTCCTGCTCCTTCTGGAGAAGCGCCTCGGCCTTTTCCTGCAAAATCTGCTCCTTCTCATCGATAGTAGCCATTAGCTCAGCAGCCTTGGGGAGGAACCAGCATGAGATGAGGCTGGCACCACCACCCCCGTCCTGGACGGCTACTCACCCACTACACACAGTACCCAGACAACCCCGGCCAGGGCTACAGCGTACAACAAACCCAGAGTAACCGCTGTCCTGTGCACAGAGAGCAATCTATTCCCCCGCCGCGCCGGGAGGCGACTCCCTTCCTGTGCGCAGGGCCACAGCGGGCCCACCAGAAACACGGCGGCGCCCTCTGGTTTTCCAGTGCTGCTGTGGCCATCCTTCCCATGTGCATCGCTCTGTTCCAGTGTCTAGGAGGTCTTTCCAGAGGTGACTCTGAGGCTCAGAGCCAGTGCACCAGCAGGGCAGGCCGGACGGTCTCCAGAGGCAGGCTTTCCCCACAGTCTGCTCAAAGCTCAACCCACCCTAAGGCAGCTCTCGGGCCAGGGGTGGTGAGGACCCACCTCACAGAATCAGAGCTGCAGGTCCCTGAGGACTTTTCCCAGGTACTATTTATATGAGACATAACTGGCCCTCAAAGCCTGAAAGGGGCATCCTATGGATGACGATTTCTTTTCTTGTAACATGTGCTTCCAACTCCCTAGAGGCTATAGAGCATCGTGCAGACCACTGCATTCCCGCAGAGCTGTGTCCACAACAGAGGGGCTCTCTGACGGCCACACAGCGGCGCGACTGGGGCACCTCACCACCTCGGCCCACACCTCAGCGTCACCCGGCCCACCTGTTGCTGGAACTCTTCCCTTTGCTTCCGCACCTCCTCCAGGGCCTGAGCCATGGCCACGCTCACAACTTCTCTTTGGCTCCACTCTTCCTACAATTCAGACAATAGGCAGGAGATGGATTTTCAAAACTCAGTTTACAGAAGGACACTGCTCGGCCGGGCTGGACTAGCGTTCTTCCTGCTTCCCTCTCTCCCTCGCATGACTGTCTTCGTGGATGTCTATGGACAGGTCATCTGATGAGCGAGCACACCAGCCAGGACCCCGCAGAGGAGGGCCCGAACTTGAGAGCTAGTGCTGCTCTAAAGAAATCAACACAGAAGACTGTTGAATGGAGTGGTCACTGGAACGATCAAGTTACAGAAAACGTAATAAGCAAACAGTGAATTTTAATACAGAAAATGTCACTGACTCATCAAAATGACCTACTGCCTTTTGAGACAGGGTCTCACTAAGTCACCCAGGCTGGGCTTGAATTTATGATCCTCCTGCCTCAGTCTCTGAGACTGCCGGGATTACAGGCATAGGTCACCACACCTGGCCAAAATGACCCCATTTTACAGTAGAGAAAAAAGAGGCTCTGGGAGGTTTGATTTGCCCAGAGTCCCAGAGATAGTAAATGGCTGAGCCAGACTGAAAGCCAGCCTCTGAGGTGAGAGCCAGGGCCTTCGGGTATCCGTTTCTCCCAACTGGAGCACTTCCACAGGGCCAGGGTTATGTGGCCAGCCCTGCCCAGAGCACAGGGACTGCCCCTGGGAGAAACACATCTCCCAAGACTGACGCTTGTGCTCCCCAATCAAGTCCCCAGGTACAAAATGTGAATTCCTGGGTGCCTCAACTCTGGTAAGGGGGATGCCCTGGAGACAGCATGAGGTCTGCCGTCTCTGTCCAGCCAGAAGGCCCCGCTTTTGGGGTAAGTGACTCTTCACTGCTGTCCCCTAGTCCCACTCTGAAATTCTACATGCCTCTGGTAGGGCCACCAATAATACCAATAATAGTACCCTAATTTTGTGGCATGTGAGTTAGGCCTGCCAATCACAGTATCTTATCCCTCTGACCAAATAAATTCATGCCAAGTTGGATCTGTTGCCCAAGATGAATCAACTGAATTTCTTCTTTTGTTTTTTTTTTTGGTACCGGGAATCAAACTCAGGGCCTCGCATTTGCCAGGCAGGCGCTGTGCCTCTGAGCTACATCCCCGGACCAGAATCTCTTCTTCTATCAGGACCCTTCTTTATCAGGACGCCGAGAATGAGTGGGAGGAGCCTGCGGCCCTGGGGTTGCTCAGCTGGAGTGTCCTAAGCTTGGAGCTCTTGTCATTCTGCACGGGGAGAAAGGCAGGAACAGGGACAGGTGAACAGACAGGTCAGTGCAGGTGCCAGTTCCAGCCTGACCGGTCTTTCCAGCTCTGTGAGCTGCCCGCCTCTTGCCAGGAAATCTCCCCAGCCCCTGTGAGGTTGGAACTGCTCTCCTGTAGGTCCACTCCTGGCAGACAAGGAAAAACCTGGTGCAGGACTCAAGAGGCTGGAGTGGGGACTGCAGAACACCCCAAACAACGCCCCACTTCCATGATAGGTTTAGGGAGAGGCTCTGTGGGTATGGAGGAAGGAGCAAGAGGTGTCAGCTGGGTGGAAAGGATGAGGCAGTCCAGGAGGGAAGGACGACAGGATGGTGTGCCACCCCAGGAGCTTTCTTGGGGGCAGCTGAGAAGAGACACTGGTGCAGGAAATGGGCAACTGCATGCGAGACAGGCGCACAGGCCAGGAAGGGAGCAGAGACCCACGGCACCTCCATGCTGGGGAATGAAGCTCATCACCTTTCATCTTTGGCCGATTTGATCCTCAAGAGGGTATTACCATCTTCCATCCAGAAAAGGAAAAATGGCCAGCCATGGTGGTGGTGCATGCCTGGAATCCTAGCATTTAGGAGGCTAGTTTGAGGCCAGCCAGCCAGTTCAAGGCCCTCCTGAACTACAAAGGAGCACCTCCTCAAGTTAAAAAAAAAAAAGGAAAAACAGATTCTCTCAAGAATCATGAGGGAGGAGCTGGGGATTTAGCTCAGCGGCACAGTGCCTGCCTGGCAAGCACAAGGTCGTGAGTTCACTTTCCCGAAAAAACAAACCAACAAAAAAAAGAATCATAAGGGGAAGCCAGGTGGTGCAAGCCTGTAATCCCAGCACTCGGGAGCCTGAGGCAGGAGGATCATTGCGAGTTTGAGACCAGCCTGGTCTACAAAGTGAGCTCAAGGCCAGCCTGAACTGCACAGCAAGACCCTGTCTCAAAAAGACCAAAAAAAAAAAAAAAAATCATGAGGGAGTAGCCTGGCATACTGGGTACCTGGAGCTCCAAAGTCCATGCTAGAGCCACAAAAGATCCCAGACTATGGGGATTAAGGCTGATACCTTCATCCCACATCTGCTACAGCAGAAAGCACGGCCTGTACCTGGCAGGCGCCCATAGGCTACCCACCGGGGCAGTTCTCTGTGCCTGGGGATGAGCCTGGCAGGGCCTCAAGGAGCTTTCAAAACAACTGTTTTGAAAAATTAGAAAGTTTTAGCTGGGTGTGGCAGTATGTGCCTCTGATCCCAGCGCTCTGGAAGGCTGAGGCAGGAAGACCAAATTTGAGCCCAGCTTCGGTTCCTTAGTGACTTAGCGAGACCCTGCCTCAAAAAACCAGAAAAATAAACAAACAAAAAAAATCAAGTGAGAGAGAGAAAAGGGCTGGGACCCAGTACTGGAAAAAAAAATCTAATCCTATGTGCACCAAACTGCAGTGCACTGACATACATGAAGCAAAGATGGACAGAAATAAAGGGAGAAAGAGGCAAATCCACAATTGCAAGTGAAGACAACATACGCCTCTCGGGAACGGTAAGAGTAAATGAGAAGGCATGCAGGTTCTAATAATGCTGTCAACCAACAGCATTACTGAGCATTTACGAACACTCCACCCAGCAGCAGCACAGTGTATGTTCACACGCAGTAAAATACTCGCCAAGATGGACTACAGGTTGGGTTATGAAACAAGTCACAATATTAACGGACTGAAATCATCCAGAGAATTACTTGCCCAAAATAGTTTCAAACTCCAAATATCCAGAAAACTCCTCGAACATCTGGAAATTAGTCACATTTTAAGGGTCCAGTGTGCTGGTTTTTGAATTACTGCCTCTCAGCAAACATCTGGGTTTTAGATGCCACAAACCACATTTCTGCTCAGCCAGCTGGCTGTGTTAATCTCTGCCAAAAGGGGGCGCTGCAGGGAGACTGGAAGCCGGAGGAGGGAGGAATCCCTGGGTCCTTCCCCAAAGCTTCTACCTTGGGGAAGCTTTTTTTGGGGGTGGAGCGTGGGTTCCGGTACCGGGAATCAAACTCAGGACCTTGCGCTTGCCAGGCAGGCGCTATGCCGCTGAGCTAAATCCCCAGCCCCCTCCACTGGGGAAACTTTAACCTAGCAAGGCTGCTTTGCCCTGGTGGCCCGGATTTCTTTCTTTTTTTGGTGGGGGGGGGTTTCCTCCGGTACTGGGAACCAAACTCACGACCTTGAGCTTGCCAGGCAAGCGCTTTTGCCGCTGAGCTAAATCCCCAGCCCCTCTGTATTTCTTCCTGCAGCAGCGGGGGCAGGCACCTCGCAGTTTTTCACACGCGCAGCTGAACCCGTTCTTTAAAGCAGGCCCGCTCTGTGGCCAGTGTCGGAGGGTGGGTCCACCTCTTTATTCTAATCTTGGAAACTCCAATTTCTTCATTCTGTCTCTTCTGTCCAAGAGTTGGAAGCTGCTTCCTACAGTTTACTTCACATTAGAATACACACTCTCACTCAGATAACGAGGGGGCTCTCTCTCCCTTGGTGCTTTGCTATAATCTGCCTGTCATGAATTGTTCTCCTCTGCTAACCCACCCTGCCTTGGAGATGGCTGATTACGGACTGAAACCTCTACAAACTGTGAGCTAAATAAACCTTTCCTCCTTAAAAAAAAAAGAAAAAAAAAAAGAGGGGGGCTCGCTGATCCCCTGCCTGGGCTGTGAATGATACCATGGGTCGGTTTCTGTCCCTTCCATTGTCTCAGTCTCCTGTAGCTGCGGCCAAAATCAGCCGTAAACTGAGGGTGCACAGTTCTGGAGCCAGCAATCCCAACGGAGCCTCCCAGGGCTTAATCAAGGGTTCAATCAAGGGGCTGGGGATTTAGCTCAGCGGCAAAAGCGCCTGCCTGGCAAGTGCAAGGTCGTGAGTTCAGTTCCCGGTACAGGAGAAAAACCAAAAAAAAAAAAGGCTTCAATTAAGCCCAGCTATGCTGGGCTCCCTCCGCAGGCCCGGTAAGGTAGCTTCCCTGCCTGCTCTGCTTCCACACCTGCGTTCCCTGGCTCAAAGCTCATGCCTCTTTTTGTTTATTTGTTTGTTTTTTCCGGTACCGGGAATTGAACTCATGATCTTGTGCTCACCAGGCAGGCACTGTGCCGCTGAGCTAAATCCCCAGCCCCAAAGCTCATGCCTCTCTATCTGTAAATGTGCAGTTAGATCGTGTTCTATCCTCTCTGCAAAATCGCCCTCACCCTGCTCTTCCAATCAGGGCCCACCCAGGTGATCCAGTAAGAAGTCTCCATCTCAGGATCCTTACTTTAATCACATCTGTAGGGCTTGCTCTGCCATAAAGGTTTTTGTTTTGTGTTACTGGGGATTGAATCCAGGACCTTTGCACTGAGCTACATTCCCAGCCTTTATTTATTTCTTTTTAGTTTTTTGAGACAGGGTCTTGCTGTGTAGTTCAGGCTGGTTTTGTTGTCTTTTTGAGACAGGGTTTTGCTATGCACTTTAGGCTGGCCTTGAACTCACTTTGTAGCTCAGACTGGCCTTGACCTCACAGTGATCCTTCTGCTTCAGCCTCCTGAATGCTGGGGTTACAGGCACGAGCCACCCGCCTAGGTCTGGCTCCAGGCTGGTTTTGAACTCAATTTATAGTACAGGCTGGCCTTGAACTCATGGCAACCCTCCTGTCTCAGTCTCGTGAGGGCTGGGATTACAAGTGTGTGCTACCTTGCCTGTCATTTTGGTTTTTTTTTGTTCTTTCTTATCTTTTCGAGACAAAGGTTTCACTATCCAGTGCAGACTGGCCTTGAACTCACTTTGTAGCCCAGCTGGCCTTGAACTTCCAGCAAGCCTCCTGCCTCAGCAGCCTCCTGCCTCGCTGGGATTACAGGTGTGTACCACCATGCCTGGCCTTTTTGTTTTTTTGAGACAGTACTGCTATGTAGTTCAAGCTGGTCTTGAACTTACTATGTAGTAGCAGCTGGCCTCCACCTCAGGACAATCCTGCTTCAACCTCCAGAGTGGGATTATAGGCATGTGCCACCACACCTGGCTTTATTTTCTACTTTGAGACATGATCTTATTAGGTTGCTAAATTAACCAGGCTGGGCTTGAGTTTGAGATCCTCTTGCCTCAGCCTTCTACAGTACTGGGGTGAATGCATGTATCAGCACATGGCTGGCTTTTCTATATTTTTATTATTGATTTTTACTACAATGCACTGTAGTCAGAGAACATACTCTAATTTTAATTCATTGAAATTTTGTGAGACTTGCTTTATGGTCAGTCTTTCCAGCGATTCTTTGTATGCTTGAAAAGGTACACATATTTCATAACTGCTGGGACCAGGGGTGTGTGTGTGTGTGTGTGTATATATATACATGCATTAAGATTTTTTTTTTGAAGCCAGGCATGGTGGCACATGCCTGTAATCCCAGCACTCGGGAGGCTGAGGCAGGAAGATCGCTGCGAGATTGAGACCAGCCTGGGCTACAAAGTGAGCTCAAGGCTAGCCTGAACTGCATAGCGAGACCCTGTCTCAAAAAAGACAAAAAAAAAAAAATTTTTTTTTTTTTTTTTTTGAGACCATTCTCACAAGGCTGGGCTGGGCTTGAACTATCTAGTCTGGGCTAGCCTTGAACTCATGGTGGTCCTCTGGCCTCAGCCTCCTGTGTGCTGGGATTATAAGTGTGTCCTACGATTATAAGTGTGTCCTACAACACCTGGTGGTGTCCATTAAAAATATTCTTATTTTTCATTGAAAACAAGTTTCACGAAGTTACTAAGTGGCCCAGGCTAGGTTCAAACTTGCGATGCTCCTGCCTCAGCCTCCCAGAGCCGTGGGATTACAAGTGCATGCCACCAGTTTGTCTCTCACTTTATATTCATTTTTTAACCTGTTATTTTCTATTTTAGATTTACTTTTGAAAAGCACCTTTCTTCCCTTTGAAAGTCTCGCAGTTATACATTCTTATATTACTTTTCTCGTGGTGCGCCTAGAGATTACAACATGCATTTGTGTCTTATCAAAGGCCAGGCTTTTTTTTCTTTGTGGTGCTAGGAATCGAAGCCAGAGCACCGTGCACGCTAAGCACACACTACCACTACACCACACCCCGAGCCATGGTCCAGTCTTTTTTTTTTAACTTACATTCTATTTCTTTTTTTCAACTTGGAATCAAATTCAGGACCTTGTGCTTGCCAGGTAAGCGCCGTGCCACTGAGGCGCTTCACTCCGGCCCGCTCCAGTCTTACTTGGTCTGACTCCGAGCAATGCAAGGACTGATAGTACTGATGACATGTATCTCACCTGACTTGGGTTATTTTCATTATGTATTCTATTTTATATTAAATACTTATTAAATCATTTTTTCATACAGTTCATTTAAATTTGTTCTTTGCTCCTTCTTACTTCCTTACATGTCTGTACTTCCATCTAGAGGCCACATTTACCTAAATGATACCCTTTAGTATTTCCTTTAGTGCATGTCTTCTGAGGACTAATTCTTTGTTTTATTTTATTAGTTTTCTTTAGTCTACTGTACACGTCTGCATGTGGCTTTTAAAATTTATCCTGCTAGCCAGGTGTGGTGGTGCATGCCTGTAATCCCAGCACTCAGGAGGCTGAGGCAGGAGGATTGTTGTGAGTTTGAGACCAGCCTGGGCTACAGAGTGAGCTCAAGGACAACCTGAACTGCATAGAGAGACCCTGTCTCAAAAAGCCAAAAAAAAAAAAAAAAAGAAAGCAAAGAAAAGAAAGAAAGAAAATTTATCCTGCTTGGATTTTAGCAATTGGCTTTTGGGACTCCACAAACACATGCTAAAACATCTTTCATGTGTCCTGTGATTTCTCTTTTTTTTTTTTTCCAGTACTTCATTCTGGATAACATATTCTGCCTTTTCTTCATTTTACTAATTCTCTCTTAGTTAGACTTGGTGGGCCAGGGATATAGCTCAGTGGCATAAGCACCTGCCTGGCAAGTGCAACGTCCTGAGTTCGATTCCCGGTATTAAAAAAAAAAAAGAATAGAATTGGCTGTCAAATGTGTGTGTGTGTGTGTGTGTGTGGGGGTATGTTACTGAAGATTAAATCCAGGGCATAAATTGCGGGAAGCAACTGGTATTCCCCCAAACCTTTTGTATTTTATTTGGAGACAAGGTCTCACTAAGTTACACAGGCTGGGCTTGAACTTGCCATTTTCCTGCCTCAGCCTGCTGAGTAGCTGGGATTATAGTCATGTGCTACCACTTACCCACTGTGGGTTTTTTTATTTTTTGAGACAGAGTCTTGCTATGTAGTCCAGGCTCGCGTGGAACTCACAGTGATCCTCCTGCTTCAGCCTCCTAAGTGCTGTGATTACAGGCATGTGCCACCATGCCCAGCCCCACTGACTTTTTTGTTTTGAGACAGGGTCTCGCTATGCAGTTCAGGCTGGCCTTGAGCCCACCGACTTTTAAACAGCCTTCCAAAGATGCAGCTGATGAGCGACACACTGCATATATTTAGTGTGCAAAAGGGTGAAATAAGGCGAGACCTTCATCATAATAAAAGTATTGAAAATACTTATCCCAAATGCTTTCTTAATGCCCTTTTGTAAGTAACCTACTCTATTCATGTTAGTTATTATATTTTCTAACTCTAAACTTTGATTCCTTGTTTTTCAAAACTGATGTTTTTGTTTTTTGGTGGTACTAGGGATTGAACCCAGAGGTGTTCTACCACTAAGCGACAGCCCTCTCCCCTTCTATTATTTGGAGACAGAGGTCTTACTACATTGCCCAACCTGGTCTGGAACTTGCAATCCTCCTACTTCTGCCTCCAGGTAGTTGAGATTATGGGCATGTGCCACCATGGCCAGAAAAGCTTGTATCTGTATTATTTTCTAAATTTCTGCTAAAATCTGCAATTTGTCTCTTATTTACTTAAACCATCACCCAAAAGGGGTGTGGAAGGGCCCAGGGGGCTGAGGGCCGATAAGCACATGGCCACCAGTTGTGTCCAGGGAATAAAGGAGGCAGGCTATGGTTCAACACCAAGTTTTCAGAAGGGAAGGGTAACAGTCCAGCAGACTGTTTTTTCACTTCTGTGTAAGCTCCCTGATACAAGTAAGTCTTCATGGCCTTTCAAGGGCTTGCCTGACTTGCCCCACTGAAACCACAAGCCACATAGGCATCTGACAGCAGTGTTCAGGCGGCTGCTGCTAACCACACAGGGTCAAGCTGGGACTTTGGTGGAGCAGAAGGTCAGACTACGGCTGCCTCACCCTATGCAGCCTTCATGGTGCTAACTGCTCAGTGAGCAGACTTCTCCCTGCAGTCCAGGTCCCAGAGAGGACACAATGGCCGACATTTTCTAGCAGACGCCTAAGCAACGTAATACAAATGCGAGGTCATTTCTTCTCCACTCGAAGTATGGGACTTCCACTTGGCCACTACTCTAAATACAGGTGTAAGATACGAACACTTCTGTCAAACTCTGACTCACTCAGATAAATACCTTTAGCTTCTTCAGCTCGATCTGATGATGCTGTAAAGAACGTTCATACTCGTCCCTGCTCTCCTGCAGGGCAGCATGTTCTCGCTCCAGCTCACCCTGCAGATGGAGAAGAGCACATGTAAGAAGGCAGGGTCCTAACTGCCATATCTCTCCCAGCACAGCTTCTCTCTCAAAGAGAACCTCCGAAATGCCCTATCTTTTGGTCAGCACAGGAGTGAAAGGGGACAACAGGGTAGGGTAAGAAAAAAGAGAGCCAGACGTGGTGGCATATGCCTGTGATCTCAGTACCTGGGAGGCTGAGGTAGGATTGCTGTGAGTTTGAGGCCAGCCTGGGCCACAGTGAGTTAAAATCTTGCCTGAACTTCATAGTATGATCTTGTCACAAACACACACATGCGCGCACACACACAAACACAAAAAAACCTCCTGAGGCTGAGTGTAGCTCAATGGTAGAGGCTTCCTACTGGGTTCAATCCCTAGCAAAGAAAAACAAAGCAAAACGAAAAGCAAGCCTCACAAGGGGGTATACAATGCTTCTGAGGACTGGAACAGGGAAAGGGACTCTGGAACAGGAGAAACCATTAAGAAGGAGTAGCATGAATTTCAGAAAGAAGCAGCTGAGGAGAAAGGTCAGAGATATCAGGAAGTTCAGTCCCTGAGGGATCTAAGGAAAAGAAAACACACTTGAGTTTCTATAAAAAGTAGTCTTTTAGCTGGGCCCTGTAGTACATGCCTATAATCTTAGCACTATGGGAGGCCGAGGCTGGAGGGTTGCAAGTTGAAGCCTAGCCTGGCAATTCAGTGACTTAGTAAGATCTCATCTCAAAATTAAAAAAATTAAAATAGCTGGGGATATAGTGCAATGTGAAGGGTGTGGGTTCAAAAAACCAAAACAAAAATAGCCTTTTACATCCAGCCTGAGGAGTGGGTACTCACTGGAAAGGCGTGCACAGGTCTGTTAAAGGGTCCCCCATCCCGAGGGCACTATTCTTCCAGTCAAGCTCACAGCCCAGCGCTCGCTCAGCCGCCTGCCCCTCTCCACTCACCATCGCGCACTTGGCGGCCGTCTGGTCAGCCGCCCGCGCCTGCTGCAGGGCGAAGATCTGGGCCTCCAGCGCACACGTTCGTTCCGCACACTGCTGCTCCAGGGCGACGACCTGCTGCTGCGCGAGGCTACTCTCCTGGTTTGCAGCCACCTGCAGTGAAACCAGGGGGCAGTCAGTCAAGGGGCAAAAGTCCTGAGGGAGGCCTTACTCTGGCTGTCGGACCCAAAGCTGGGGCCCAAGGCAAACAGCTCCTGTGCCCCTGGTGGTGCTGGGGACCCCTGCAGACTCTGCCTGTTGCTGCTGGCCTGGCCTGCCCAGGAGGTGGAGCCAGGCGTTGGTCTTGCTGCCATGGCTGCACCCTCAGTGTGTGGGGACCCTAGGATGGGCCTCCTTGATGCCACTCAGTGCGCCCCTATCCTTGCGCTTTCCACAGGCAGCAGAACAAGGCTTTGTGTAAAAAGGAGGCAAGCCCTGTCATCTGCAGGCTGTGAGCCCATGGGCTCTGGACTGAACCTTCTGAACCTGCCTCCTCTACACAATGACAACAGTGCACACCTCTCCGGTGTGCTGTAAGCACTAGATCAAAGTGCGTACAAAGCAGTGAGCACCATGCCTCCACAGGACAGCAGGAAATCAGTGCTGGCTGCTTTTATTTTTCTAGTTCTAACCCAGCCCCTATGGGGTACAATGATGGCCAAGCCCTTGCCACCTTCTCCCCAGTCTCAACCTGCTCTCTGCAAAGCCAAGGCTTTGAGCTCTTGCAGAGCTACAGCCTCTGACTGTCCTGGTACAGGATGGGCCTGATAGCCACGTGTCAGGGAAGCAGCCAGTCATTCCACAGCCTGAGTCACTCAGGCCTCCAACAGGTCCTCCATTTGCTCTGGCCACCAAAAGAGCAAGTGCGCCTGCAGTCAGGGGCAGAGAACGCCGCACACGTCTGCCCGGGTGTGAAGCGTGGTGAGCACTCACGAGCTGCTGGATCTGCGCCTCCTGGGTGGCTACGAGGTGGCTGCTCTGCCTGAGCTGCTCCTCAGAGGCCTGGAGGCTCTGCTCCAGCTCTTCCACCTGCAGGGAAACGGAAGTGTTCTTGTCGTTCAGCAGGATCTGCGCGGGGTTTAATTTAAAATTCATACCAGGAGCCGGCACGGTGACACACAGCTGTAATCCCAGCACTCAACACCCCTCCCCGCAAAAACAAGCCCCGTAACAAAACAAAACAAAACAAAACATATTCTTGAGGCAGGAGGAGCTGCCTCAATCGACCCAAGTTCAAGGACAGCCTGGGCTACACACTGAGGTCAAGTCTAGCCTGAACTACATAGTGAGACCTGTCTCAACAAAACAAAACAAGACAAAGCAAAACATTCATATCCTTGAAAAATTAAATATAAAGTTACCACATGACCCAGCGGTTCTACAGCCAGGTATATCCAACAGAAATCAAGAATGTGATTTCACACAAAACTCTTGTACACTAGTATTCCTGGTAACATTATATTCAAGAACCAAAAGGCAGAAACAACTCAAATGTCCAGCAATGGAAGATGGATAAACAAACGTGGTATATTCATACAATGGAAGATGATGCAGCCCTCAAAGGAAGGAAAGTCTGATACATGCTACAACAAGGATGATCTCTGAAGATATTATGCTAAGTGAAACAAGCCCAGATACAAAAAGACGAATACTGTATGATTCCACCTAAGTGTATACCCGGAATATTCACAGGCACAGTGACAGAAAGTAGACTGGTAGTTAACAGGGTCTGGGGGTGGGACGGAATGGGAGTTTGTTTTTGTTTTTTTAGTTTTTTTTTTATTTGTTTTGTTTTGTTTTTCTGCCGGTACCAGGAATCGAACTCATGACCTTGCGCTTGCCAGGCAGGCGCTTTGAGGCTGAGCTAAATCCCCAGCCCTTTTTAGGGTTTTTTTGAGACAGGTCTTGCTGTGTAGTCCAGGCTGGCCTCGAACTTGCAGCGATCCTCCTGCCTCAGACTCCCGAGTGTTGGGATTATAGGCATGCACCACCACGCCTGGCAGGGAGTCTGTTTTTTTAATGGATACAAAATTCAGTTTGGAAAGATGAAAAATTTCTAGAGATGGATGGTGGTGATGGTTGCACAACAGTATGAATGGACCGTTAATATCACTGGATTGTATCCCTGTAAGACATTAAAGTGGTAAATTTTATGTATATTTTAATATAAAAATCATAAGGAAAATTCAGAAATAGAACCAAGCTATAATAAGACAGACTTTAGAGTAAAATAGATTTAAGATAATATAAAAAGAAATATAAAAACAACAACTTTATCAAATCTATTCAAAACAAGACTTGACTGGTTGAAATGTCATCTGGCTGAGTGTGCCTTGGGACAGTCAGTATGCAAACAAAATGTGCTGCCTAGAGTGACACTTGGGGTGAACTGTGAAAGAGGTTAATAAGCTCTACAGACGAGGCAGCAATACAGATTAAAAAATACTATTACGTGTGTTATTCTAGGCAAATGTACTATGTACTAACACACTTTAAGGTACAATGCTAATAAACTGGAAAACTAAGATAAAATGGAAAAATTCCGGAATGAAAAAAGAAAACAATGTCAAACTGGTAAAGAAGGAATAGAAAAATCTATCATTTTGCAGTAAACTACTTATACTCTATACAATGGCCCACAGGTATTATTTGGAATGTAAGCTTTTGACAAAGACAAAAAATTGCGGTGTGTTGCCAGTTCCTTGTTGTGTTAGGACCCACTTTCCCATTAACAAACACATTCAGAAACTTTAAGCACATTTCTTTTAAGATGGGGAACAAAACAAGGATGCCCACTACCTCCGCTACTGCTTAATACAGAGCTGCAGATCTTTGCAAATTGAAAACTGACATTACTTACAGATATAACTATCTGCCTTGGAAAAACAAAAGACATCACACAGTATTAGAGTAAGAGTTCAGCAGGGGTGCAATATCCAAGATCAAGCTAAAATTCTGAGAACTAGGCACAGTGGCGCATGCCTGTAATCCTAAGCACTGAGGAGGCTGAGGCAGGAGGATTGTCCTCAGTTCCAGGCCAGCCTGGGCTACATAATGAGTTCAAGGCCAGCCTGAACTACACAGAGAGTCTCAAACAAACAAAACAAACTAAACAAGACAACAAAAAAAACAACAACAAAACTTCACCAAGAAAGTAAGATATCTACTGGGAAATATGTAAAATAAATTTTTTTTTGTGGTACTGGAAATTGAAAGAAGGGCCTCACACATGGTAGGCAAGCGCTTTACCACTGAGTTGTTATGTCTTTGGTACAGAAAAATACAATTTGTTAGTTTTGCTTTGTGTGTTAGGGATTGAACTTAGGACTTTCACACTGAGCTACATCCCCAGGCCTTTTATTTTTTATTTTGCTACAGGGTCTCACTGAATTGCCCCGGTTGGACTTGAACTTGAGATTCTTCTGCCTCAGCCTCCTAAAGTGCTTGCTGGGATTACAGGCATACATCATTTCACATGGGGAAATGTAAAAGTTTAATGAAGACACAAAATAATCTGAATGAATAAAATTTATTTACATTCTTAGAAGGAATTACATAATGATAAAATGATAATTGTCATATAGACTATACATTTAATAAAAACAGTACAAATTCAGGTTTTTTTTTCTTTTTTTTTTTTTTT